CATGATCCCAGGGTCCTGGGATCGAGTCCCACATCGGGCTTCCTGCTCGGCGGGAAGCCTGCTTCTCCCTCTCCCACTCCCCCTGCTTGTGTTCCCTTTCTCGCTGTCTCTCTTTCTCTCAAATAAATAAAATCTTAAAAAAAAAAGAAAAATGAATACTCCATCTATCTTTTTTTTCTAATCTCTTTGAGAATTACTGAAAATTCCTTCATGTCCCAGCACTGGCCTGCCAACTGGTCTTTGAGAGTCTCTGGCATCATGAGTAGACATGGAATCGGGTGAAGTCCTGGGCTTCTGGTCAGCTTCTACCTCCTGTCAACCGTGTAATCATGGGCAGGCCATGTGCCCTCTTGGGTCTCATCTTCCTCATCTGTAACATTGGCCCCCAAAATGGCTCTTCTGCCTATTTTATAAGGTTGTGGTGAAAACAGAATAAAGCAGTTCCTATGAAAGTATCTTGCAAATGCAGTACCAGTGATGTTATTATATTGAGTGCATGCTTACTAAATGCATATGATATATGTAACATTGCAGATTAAAGGAATATAACACATGGCTTCTGCTCTGAAAGATATTATCATATGACTTTCAATAAAACAATTATGAGTCCTTACCATGTACTGGGGATGTGAAATTTCAGTTAAGATCAGTAGTAAATACAAGGTCATTCTTCCTGTACACACTTTCTATTGATTCCGCAGCTAGAATTCAAGGGTGGGGCTCAATGGTTCTGCCAGACTCTCCGCCTCAAAGGTCTTGCTCCCAAGGAAATAGCCTATCTAATCAGGACTTGCCTGGCTTCAGCTTCCTGAACTGCCTGCCTGTGTCCCATTCCTTCAGATAAGATGAGTGACAGCAGGGATGCTTCAGGAGGAAGCAGGCGTTCTAGAAGGAGAAGGAAGAGTGTTGAAGACAAACTTCACAATTCGACAATTCTACAACTAAGTCTGATTTCAGAGGCCAGGGATTTAATCACTACACTACACAGCCTCACATGAGCTAGGGTTTTATGGAATATTTACTATGCATCAGATGTGATCAGGGCCACCCACATCCTTAAGCACTTGTGCCCAGCACAAAGGGGTCCTCCAAAGGTGTGAGTAGGGCTGAAACCTGCCAAGCTCTGTTTGTCAAGTTCTGGGACCAGAAGCATAGACCTAGAAAGGGTAAGCTCCTCTGACTCATTGGCCAGGGGTGGTGCCTCTTTTAATTTATCTGTCTGGAGGGGCTCTTTTTCTAATTTGTATAAAGGTGCTAGCTGGAGCCCTATGCACTGTATATAGCATATTACATACATGATCTAATTTAACCCTATAACGCGCTCTTGAGTGAGACACTATTATTATCCCCATTTTTACAAATGAGGAAACTGAGTTATAGAGAAGTTACTATAAAAATATATATAGGTTAAAAGTAAAAGGACAGAAACAGATTACCATGCTAATATTAATCCAAAGAAAGCTGAAGTAGCTATATTAATATTCATCAAAGTATATTTCAGAGAAGGGAATATTACCAGAGATTAGAGAAAAATATTACCAGGGATTTCATAACGATAAGAGTCAATTCTTCAAGTGACTTAATCTTTTTTTTTTTTAAAGATTTATTTATTTATTTATTTGAGACAGAGAGAATGAGAGAGAGAGAGCACATGAGAGGGGGGAGGGTCAGAGGCAGAAGCAGGCTCCCCGCCGAGCAGGGAGCCCGATGCGGGACTCGATCCAGGGACTCCAGGATCATG